CTGTTAATATCTTTTGAATTACGCATAGCTTTACGTCCAACTCGTAGTACACCACCAAACCCATTCCAATCTTTCTTTTAGCTTTCATGGTATTTGTAACAACATACGCAACAGCCTTTTCTCCAAATAAACTATCGTTCGCTTTTACGCGGTCCCAAGCACGTTTTTCTAACTCGTAATCAGCCAAATGCCGTTCCGATAAATCATTTGTTTTTGCATACGCAATATCATGTTCACGACACGCTGCATCGAGTTTATTTATTCCAGGATCACCACGTGCTAGTCTTTTAAGTTTTGTGCCTGGTCCGCAATACTGATACCCTGGAACATGCATTTCAATGGGCAATCGATTAATTAACAATAGCGAGTCCTACACTTCGCTTCGTCGCACGTCTTGTTCGCACCATTTTCAATATATAACTGTAAAGGTTTTTTGAGTTTTTCATAATTTATACTCATTTGTTTGACGAGTAATAACGTGCGCTAATAATGTTTTTTGAGAAATAGAAACATACTCTATCAGTCGATAATGTGATGATTAGTCAAAGATGATGACCTCAACAATGGTCGATGTCGATGTGTTCATAAAAATGACGTGAGTATAAAAAGACGACTTATACTGATACATGTTTAGTTAATATCAAGATGTCGGATAAAGTGTTAAAAGAAATCATAAGCTTTAAACAAAACATAAAAAATAAAATACAGTTAATTCATAGAAATGTTGAGAAATCGGAAAATTTTGTACGTACACTAGGGTGACAACATTTTATATGACAAAAATTTTATTTAAATTTTTCTTTTGTCCCATCCTTTTAAAATATTTATTTGGGTAAAATATACATGTTCTGAAAATTTTATCTAATTTTGTTGATGTTTAGAGGTCGCGCAGAGCTTTATTATTTGTTTATAAATAACTTTGATATCACGATTTCATCAGCTCTCATTATCGACGATAATACACTGATGTTAGCGACTCATTTGCAGTATGGCAGTACAAATTGTCATTTTAAACCGTCAACATAATTCTTCGTGATAATATAGCCGCACTTTTATAAATATTTTATAAGTGTTTCGTTAAGTTCATATTTTTTGAATAATTGTGTTCAAATTTTTTGTATTTGTGATAATTAAAATAATTGCGCTGTGATGTGAATATTTTTTTTATTATTTAGTTCATATATGTGTAATTTTATATGTAATTAAAATATTATGGCAAGCACAAGCTCTAAAACTATAAGTTATGTAAAGGATCGAGAAGTTTGGCTAGTTGGTGGTACACTCGAATCAATTACTGGTTGCAAACTACCATCTAACCAGCAAGTACTTTGTCTTTTTTTTCATTTGCATTTGCATGAAAAAAAAACTATTCAAATTAGTGCTACCATCACAGCAAGAGAAATATGCACATTTTGGGCAAAAGCTAAAATTCCTACTCAAAAGGAATGTCATATAATTCACAAAATAAAAAAAATTCATTGTAAATGGTTGAATTTAAAAAAAAGTTCTTCGATAAATCTCCTCATCAAAAGGAGATTGAGTCTGTATTTGTCGATGACTTCAATAATTTATTTGACATTGCTCATAAGGATGCTTTAACTCTTATAACTATTGAAGTCGATACACAGTTTCTCCTGGCTCAGAGAGAAAAAGGAAGACGTGGTTGCATGAGCTTCGTTGACACTGATACGATCACATTTGCATGTGACCATATCTCTGTCTCCCAGAACATCATTGTACCGTTTAATAGACTATTTATAAAGATACGATAAAAGTCTATAATATATAATTTAACCTACTGTAACTATTACTTTAGGTATTTATTTAATATAATGTTCCTGGAATAAATATGATATTTTAATAGACATGTTATAATTATCAATTAATTGATCTTTAATAAATTCATTATGAAATGCTATGTGAGCAATTGACAACGCCGTTGCTTTTCCAACGTCATCGTTTCTGTCTTTGGTGGTCGTGTTTCATCGCGTTAATTAGTCATTTAATAAGCTAGCAATTTCTTGATCTGAAAACCAATATCCCCAATGTCTTATATAAGTTTAAATAACTCGCGTAGTGTGATTTTTTGGAAGGCTGAGCTGATAATAATTATATTATATATTACATGTAAAGCATAATTATTGTCTTCCGCTATTTTTCGCCCATTTTATATTTTTTGAAGATTTTTGATACGATTACATTTGCATGTGCCCATATCTTTGTCTCCCATAACATCATTGTACCGTTTAATAGACATATATATATATATAATTAACACAGTGACATACAACAATACTAACAGGAGGGCGGACTGCACACAAACACTTTTGCAATTCACGGGCAATGTGCCATAATAAGATATCCCTATCGACAGTTGACCTTTTACCATCATCGCGATCACTACTTTTGTCTGATAATTAACTTAACTTCACTACCCCGTATATTATAGTGTGTGTGTGTGTCGCCGTCAGCTCCCTGTTGGATTATATCATCTCTTGGTGTCCAGCAGGTTGTATTATCTATTTAATATTTCAATTGCTTAATAAATATTTATTTATATCGTTGTTAACCTAAAGTGTTATATATATATATATATATTGTAGTGCGACCCTTGGTAGTTCCTCTAAGGAAATATAAATTAAATAGGAAACTTCAGTACCTAAGGTAGATATAGCCTAGCCAGCTATCCCCCGTTGGTCCCTTAGAATACTGTCGACGGGCATTTAGGCTAAACCCCTAAATAGCGACGTAACAGCACGAAACTTTAAAAAAAAGAAGATAAAAAAAATGAGCGACAGCAACAAATTATAATCAGAGAACTAAAAGAGATAGAACGATCGAAAGGAGAAGCAAAATCTAATGATTTAAATACTGAAAGAACAGAATCTAGTAGCAGCAGTGGAAGTGACGATGATTTATATATACCTAAAAACAAAAGATTAAAGCAAAATAAGTCTACTGAACTTATTAATACATTAAAAACTTCTAGTATTGTCACTACTGAAATAGCATCTGCATTAGATAAAACCAAAGTAAGTGACAGAAACGCTATGTATGTTTTGTCAACTACCGTGCAATCATTAGGTTACAATGTACAAGACTTTACTCTTAATCGATAGTACACAAGACAAGCTCGTCGAAAAAATCGTCAAAATATCGCAAATGAACTAAAATCTTCATTTTTACCGACCACTCCGTTGACAATACATTGGGATGGAAAACTACTACCTTCTTTAACATCAAAAAATAAAGTTGACTTGCTGTAATAGTTTCAGGTGACAGTGTTATGAAATTACTCGGTGTACCAAAAATTTCAAATGGAACTGGAGAAGCTCAATCTACTTCAGTTTTTGAGTTAATAGAAGAATGGAATTTGACTGAACGAATTCATTCCATGTCTTTTGATACAACAGCCAGCAACAGTGGAATAAACACAGGTGCCTGTATACTACTTGAAAAAAAAAATGAAAAGAGTTCTTCTGAGCTTAGCATGTCGGCATCACATCATGGAACTCATTGTTGAAAAACTGTTTAATACTTTGATGGGTCCTTCAAATGGTCTGAAAATACAGGTTTTTCAAAGATTTTCAGACAGCTGGAGTAAAATTAACAAAAAAAAATACGCAAGTGGAATTATGGATGATAAAGTTGTTAAACATTTCAAACCAATAAAAAAGTTCCTAGTTGAATTTATTAATGAGCAGTTGACAAAATATCAGCCCAGAGACAATATACAGGCACCTGGAGCTTTACATAGAGCTAGATGGATGGCTAAGATTATCTATAGTATGAAAATCTACTTATTTAGATCACAAATCAAATTAACCGCACAATAACTATCGTCACTACAAGCTTTCAATATTTTTGTACTACAAGTTTACATAACATTTTGGTACACTGCTCCTTGTGGGGAATTATCTCCTTTCAACGATTTAAATCTATTGTAGGAGCTTAATTTATATAAAAATACTCATGAAATTATAGCTGATGCTGCTATTAAAAGTTTCTCTAGGCATTTATGGTATTTAAGTGACACTCTCGTGGGACTGGCTTTTTTTGACAGAAAAGTGCCAACTGAAATGAAAATAAAAATTGTGAAATCATTGGAAAACAAGGGAGCCGTCAACCCACAACGACGTATTAAAATCGAGTTGAATGCAGTTCAAACAATGTAGTTATGCGATTTTGCAACTAATAATACCTTAAAATTATTTACAGCGCTAAATATACCACAAGATTTTTTAAGTCAACATCCAAGTACTTGGGGAGAAAACGCTAATTACATTGATGGGCGTAAAAGGATACAAAGTTTAAAAGTAGTAAACGACGCTGCCGAACGTGGGATATCTTTACAAAATTTTAGACAAAAGACCTAAAGAATACGTATATTGGAACGATCTTAATTAACTTATAGTTCGATTAGAACTTTTACACGCTGTAAGAAGTGCTGGAAATACAGGTGTGGGAAACAAAATACTTTCAATAGAAGAAGAGTTACGAGAACTAGGTGTAATATCATGAGTAAAGTAGCAGAGAAAGTAGCAAAATTACATAAGCCAGCTAGAAAAATATTTCCTAGAAGAAGAGTTGTATCGTACGGCAAAGATGACTTGTGGCAAGCAGATTTAGTAGATATGAAAAAATACTCTACAAAAAATAAAAATTTTACCTTTAATTTAATGATGATCGATGTTTATACAAAATGTGCGTGGGCCTTTAAAAAATAAATCTAGTACAGAAGTCAAGTCGGCTTTTGAAAAAGTCTTGTTCAATAGATCTCCAAGGAACTTGCAAAGAGACTGAGGTTTAGAATTTTTCAACAAACATTTTCGGATGCTCATGAAGAACAAAAACATAAACCATTATTCAACCTACTCTACAATGAGAGCGGCTGTTGTGGAACGATTTAATAGAACACTAAAAGAAAAAATGTGGAAAAAATTTATTACCAATAGATTAAATAGTTAGATAAAAATTATAGCAGATTTAATAACAAATTACAATAATACAAAACATAGCGCCATAGAAACATCTCCTAGTATAGCATCACGTATTCCTGGAAATGTCAGTTTTAAACGGCTACCTATTTTAAAATACAATAAAAAGTTTAATATTGGAGATAAAGTTCGTCTGAGTAAGCATAAAGCAGTATTTTCAAAAGGATATACACAAAATTGGACGTCGGAAGTCTTTACGATTAATGTCAAGTACTGCTAATCCAACGTATATTGGTTTGATAAACTGGACAATCTTTGTGTCCATTATGACAGCGCACAACCTTTCATCGTATTTGATACAGTCGCTGAAGGTTGGTTGGTTTACGAGCTTGCTTAGACGTTTGGAACTGCAGATTAGCTGAATGCGGGTACGCTTCCGTATGTTCTCCATGGTTTTCCCTATAAAATGTAAAAATTTATCGAATAACCTACAGCTGCTTTAGCATTGAGCATGCACTTACCAAAGACGGCATTATTCATTAGTTTGAAAAACGCTATTTCAACAGCATTTACCGCCTGTTTCCACATTTCAGTGTTCAACTCAATATACGGTTTCAACCAAGCACTTTGTTGAAACTCTAAAACGCGGTGCACCTGTGTGACAAGCATATTAATATCATAGCTAACAGCTCTAGGTACGATGTATATACTTTATCGATTTGCAGTCCGTGTGCGATCGCCTGTTTCAAGTTGACATAGTGTACGACGTACCGTTGTTTTATTATTATTTATTAAGTTTGGGTTTCAAAGTGGCCATGAGTTTGGTCTCTTTGGAACCCGGTGGTACATCGTCGCCAGGCAAGAACGGTAAGTCGTTGTGCTCGTCATGCAGCTCTTCTGGATACGATACATCCACTTCATATATACGCACAGTATTACCAGTGTCCGAAAGCAATTGAAGGTTGGCAAGAGGATCTGCTCCTTCATACCACCGGAAGCCTCCGTACGGCATGGGCTGACTCATAGCCCAACCGTACAGGTTATTGCCTGTAATTATTTTTAACGTTCTTAAATTACCACTCATTTATTACACTTATATATAATACTTACAGTCTTGGTAGACGATACATGAGACTGGTTTTGTCGAATCGTAATCCGGTGTCTTTGGATTATTAGCCTTAGCATAGTGCTTGACGGCCTGCACCAGCCCACCACGAATACCCTGTTCCACCATCAGTAGCATGTTGTAGTCGTTTAAGAGCTCGAGCTTCACCCTGGTGTACTTCAACNGGATGTCACGGAAATTCTCAAACAGATCAGCCAACAACAACTCGTCGATCTTAAGGTATAGGTTGCTGTACTCACCGAGGGTTGAGCAGCCGAAACGGTTCCACACCTCCGTAGCATGTCTATAGTCGTCGTCATCAATATTAGACTCACTCAACTGACTATAGAAAGCGTCCTGAGGTGGTAGTTCCGTTTCTTCCAATTTAGCCCAACTATCAGTGTACTCGTAGGGGTATACTCCCTTACGCGTCCCCAACGGTATATCTTCAGGGCGGAACATCTTGGCCGTCTCCCGGAATATAACGAAATCGGGTGTCATTAGGTTACCGGCGAAGATGGAAAGGGAATTCACAAAAATCAACTTTAAGAATCTATAAAAAGAATGTAACATTTGATATTTTGCCATGATTATTTTATAACTTTTTAAAAATCAAATTAATAATAAATTAAAACATTTTTTTAGCTTCGACGCGAAGCTGAGAAGGTATTAATTTTACTATGGTGTGTTTTTTTTTTCTATTTATTTATTTATTTATTTTTTTTTTATGTCTGTTACCACTTTTTCTCAGCTCTCACTGGACCGATTTATTTCAACAATACGTCAAAAGAGCACAAATTGTATCTAGTTGAAAACATTACCCTTAAAAATTGAAAAAAATTCCCTCGTTTTCCGAAAATGGGGGAAATATCCAAAAAAATTACAAATTTAAAAATCGGTAAATTTTGTCATTTTTTTCACTTTATTTTCTTAAAACTTTTTCAAAAATAAACAAATCAACATAATTTTTTTTATACTAAAACTTTAGATATTTACCTTTCATTTGATGTCATTTTTTTGAAAATCTAACACTTAACCTGCTCATTGGAGGGGATTTAAAATAGCAACTTTTTTACAAAAACTAACGTTTTCAACTTAATTTTTGAAAATGTTCCGGAAATACTGCGTCTTTTAAACATATATCAAATTAAAGCTTATTTTATGTACTATAAAATGAAAAAAAAATTTGTCCCGACGACCTATCTTCTATGCGCAAATGGCTACCGTATTCAATAATATGCTATTTTCCTATTAAAATTCTAGGTTTTGTATTTTATTTTATTTTAAAATATCTTATTAGGAGAATATATTGAGTTTCATGAATATTATATAATTTAATTGACATAGAATAAAGGTCATAAGACATAAGAAATTAAACTTATTAAATTTTTTTTACTTTTTTGAAGTCGAAAAAGTAATTTTTAAATTTAAGTTAGCTTAAATAGCCAATTTTTTAGCTTCGATGGGAATTTTTTATATGTAAATACTAATTTTTGATAATATTAAAATTTAGAAGTGATAGAAAAAGTCTAATTGCAGATTTGAAAACATCGCGAAAAATTGATTTAGAATGGTATATTTTTGTTTATGAAAGTTCCTTGTAGTTCAGTGCATTTATTTATAGTAACAAACAGTTTTTATTGAAATTTATTGAGTCACGTATTTATTTTATACACGTAAAAATAAAGAAAAATACATCTTCTTTATTATTTTTATAATTTCTCTGTTTAAATTACAATATTAAATTATTGAATATCAATTTCATACTAAATTTAATAATTATAATTATTATTTATTCATATATTATATTTTAAAATCGAAGAACTACTAAGTAGGATATAATCAAAGAAATAAGAGTTGATGTTGCTTTTGGAATAATCCACCAATTTCTCTAAATGAAACACTATCTACAGATTTGCATCGAAGCGTTTCTTATGATAGTGATTTTAATCACTGTCAAATATCATCTATACTTGTCCCATCTATGCATTGTCTACACTGTGCCTCGACCCCACTGTGCTACCTTTATTTTTAAAATAAAATGTGTAAAATTTTGTTCCGATTGATTAACTTAAAAGTGTACCGCAAGAGGTATCAAAAATTTTATAATAAGGAAAGTTTATTAGTTTTCATTGTTTATTTTTGTTCTTGGTCAAAAATAGATTAAAATAATTTTTTTTTTTTTTAATTTCCAAATAACTATTTTTTAAAAATTTTCTTATCAAATAAATTTATGTGTCTAATACATAAGTATTAATTGAGTTATGAGTTCACTCATTTTTTTGTAAGAAAATATCAATATTGAACTCTTATACTATTAAAGGGGAAATAATATTCTTCTATATTTCATTTTGTTCATTACTTATGAATTTATATTTTTTAATTTAATTAATATATATTATTAATTAAATGATATTAATAATTTGATATTCAAATACGATACAATTAATGAGCATTTTTTCCATAAAAATAATCGTGATATTGTTTTTTCACTTTTGCTGATATACTATTGTGGCGAGAGCGTAATAATGGATATGTAAATACTGTCCAAAATTTATTTTCAACCTGTCATTTTAAGATTTGTATAATTTTCCAATAATTTATTTATTTATATGCAAATTACTATTAAAAAAACGGTAGCACAGTGGGGTCGAGGCACAGTGTGGACGAGGCATAGATGGGACAAGTATAGATGATATCTGACAGTGATTAAAATCACTATCATAAGAAACGCTTCGATGCAAATCTGTAGATAGTGTTTCATTTAGAGAAATTGGTGGATTATTCCAAAAGCAACATCAACTCTTATTTCTTTAATTATATCCTGATTAGTAGTTCTTTGATTTTAAAATATAATATATGAATAAATACTAATTATAGTTTTTAAATTTAGTATGAAATTGTGTGGCCAGCTATGATGTATGGTTCATAGTATTGGGCGGTTGATAAAAAAGTAGAGCAGAGAATAAGTGTAGCAGAGTTGAGAATGCTTAGTTGGATGAGTGGAGTGACTAGAGAAGATAGGATAAGGAACGAGCATATAAGAGGAAGTATAGGTGTTGCGTCAATCGTGGATAAGATGACAGAAAATAGACTTAGATTGTTTAGTCATGGTATGAGGAAAGAAGAATCGAAAGCTGTAAGAACAGTTATAGAAATGAATGTTGAAGGAAGAAGAGATAGAGGAAGACCAAAAAAGAGATGGAGGGATGCTATTGAATGCGATTTGAGGACAGCTGATGTGAGCGTAGAAGATGTGGGAGATCGTGTCAAGTGGAATCTTAGGATAAGGGTGCCCGACCCCAAGTAGTTGGGATTAAGGCAAAGAAAAAGAAAAATATTACCAGATATTCCGGTGGCAATTGACATAATATGATTGTTATTTCGGAATGTACAATTTAGCGTTTAGTTGGGTTTAAATAATATAGCGTCAAATCAATTACCTACTCTATCGGTTGTATCTCAATATACACTACACTTTAATGATACAATAAATAAATAAACTCACACATACACACATATGCATTTATAACATTGTGTCTAATGTAAGTATAACATGATAAAAAGTAACCGTAAAATGAAAAAAATGGAATATAAATTTTATTACTCATATTAAATGTAATGTAACTCGAAAAATATTTGTTTAAATGAAAAAATATAAGATTATATTTTTATTTATAATTGTCTTTTAAACAACTTTTGTGCGAAACTTTTTTTTGTAAGTTAAATATTTTTTTTTGAGAAAATTAAGAAAGCTCATATTTTTGAACTTTTGCGAGGATTTAAAAAAAAAGCTCAATTCCAATCTTGAGGACTATTAGTATGTCATTATACATATTTTAATTCAACTTTTAAAAAAACAAAATTTTTTCCGCAATTTTTCCTTTGTTGACTGGCCTAGATGTCAATTTTAAACTTGTAATTGAGCTAAAAGTTATGGTAATATATTCAATTTATTTTACTATAAACTTTCATAAATCTTTATCAAAAATTTTTCATCAACTTTAAAGAACCAAAAAAATAGGTTAAAATTGAAAATTTGGACTGATTATTTTTAACATATTAAAAATCAAATCAGTAATAATTTGAAAACAAATTTTTTTTTCTTTTAATTATTATTTTATATATATAATTAGTAATAATATAAAAAATTAGAAGTGATAGAAATAGTCTACTTGCAGATTTGAAAACAACGCGAAAAGTTGATTTAGAAAAGTATATTTTTGCTTCTGATGAAAGTTCCTTGTAGTCCAGTGCATTTTTTTATAGTAACAAACAGTTTTTATTGAAAATTATTGTATCAAGCCCTTTAAATTTTTATACACGTAAAAGTAAAGCAAAATATAACTTCTTTATTATTTTTATAATTTCTCCGTTTAAATTACAATATTAAATATCAATTTCATACTAAATTTAATAATTATAATTAGTATATATTCAAATATTATATTTTAAAATCAAAGAACTACTAATCATGATATAATTAAAGAAATAAGAGTTGATGTTGCTTTTGGAATAATCCACCAATTGCCTAATTAAAACAAAAAAA